GAGACTCCGTCTCAAAAAAAAAAAAAAAAATTGTTATTACAGTTTTCCAGAAGTATACTTTAAAATACTTGTTTTTAAAGTGAGGCATTACAATGGTGTCATGAGCTGACATTCCCAACCTCTGACTAGAAGATTTGGATCAACCCAGGGAACAGGCTTGATTTAAGGGAGTTCTAGTGTTGGTGGTCTTTGCGTAAAAGTGTATGTCTATGTTCGTATGTGGGATTCAGTGGGAATTTTCTTTAACGCTAAAAATTCTAGTTTCCTCAGTATTTGCTTTCCTTCTTCCCCTGTCCTCCCCCAGCCTCCACACACGTGTAACACATTTTATTTGCCAATAGGTCAAGGAGGTTAAAAAGACTTCATCAGGCTTGGAAGTCAGCATGGTTACTGCAGTTCCAGGTAGCCTACCCGTCATGACCACGATTCCAGATGTTGACTGCCTGCTCTGGGCCATTGGGCGGGACCCCAATTCCAAGGGTCTGAATTTAGACAAACTGGTAAGCTGGCTTGGTCTACCCAAAACATTCGTAAATCTACTAGGAGCCCTATGGTTTTATTTTCCCCCCAGACACCCAAAACTTGGGTGGATTCCGTTGGATTCTTTTCTCTTTTTTCCATGTATTCAGCTTGTGATCAAATTTCATTGCTTCTTCCTTTGAAATTAGAAAAAAAAAAAAAAGAGTTTTCTTTTATTTCCTTTTCCTTTCTTGTCTGGTTTTGTTTTTAGTTTTTGGGTTTTTTTTTGTTTTGAGACAAGGTCTTGCTCTGTCACCCAGGCTGGAGTTCAGTGGTGTGATCAAAGCTCACCACAGTCTCAACCTCCTGGGCTCAAGTGATCCAGCCACCTCAGCCTCTGGAGTAGGTGCGACTACATGTGTGCCATAATGCTCAGCTAATTTTTTTATTTTTTATGTTTTTTAGAGATGAGGTTTCACCATGTTGCCCAGGCTGGTCTCCTCGGCTCAAGCAATCAAAGTGCTGGGACTATAGGCATGTGCTGCCACATCTGGCCTTTTTCTTTTCTGTTTTCTTTTCTTTTTTTGAGACAGTGTCTTGCTTTGTCACCCAGGCTAGTGTACAGTGGCATGATCATAGCTCACTGCAGTCCTGAACTCCTGGGATTAACTGATCCTTCTGCCTCAGCATCCCAAGTAGCTGGAGCTACAGGAGTGTGCCACCACACCTGGCTAATTTTTAAGTTTTTTGTAGAGATGGAGTCTCACTATGTTGCCCAGGCTGCTCTTGAACTCCTGGCCTCAAGTGATCCTTCCACCTGGGCCTCCCAAAGTGCTGGAATTATAAACATGAGCCTCCATGCCCAGCCAGCCTGCCACCTCTAACCTAGTTTCCTACTGGCCTCCCTCTTACAGACTTCGTTTTCGCTATGTGAATGTCTCTTTCCAGTCCTGTGCTGATCTCTTAGCGTCTACAGTAGGTAATCCAGATTGCTGGGTGGGTAACTGTCTTGTACATTGTACACAGGGATGGTAACAGATATGAAGCTGTCTCTCTTGGCTCTACCCACACTGTCTATATTTGTGGACAGTTGGCATTTTTACTTGTTCTTTTAAATGTTGAAGTAAAATCTAGAGTGGGAGCTTGGGGTGTGGTTCCCAGAGTTTGACCTGAATTTGAACCTTAGTTCTTGCGACATAACAGTTGCATGGCTTTGAGCAAGCAGCTTAATTTCTCTGCTTCGAGTGGTTCATATTCACAATGGGAATGAAAAAGGTCCTTGCCTCACTGGGTTATAGAGAAGAGTAAATGAAAAAGCGCATGCAAAGCAATTTATAACTGAGACCCTAGCTTACATTATGAACACAGTGAGTGTTCACCTGCTGTTGATAATGATGATGACTTTTCTGATACGCTATACTACTCTATTAATAATAATAGAATATTTAATGTTTGAGGTGCATATATTTATTTATTTATTTATTTTTTTTGGGGGGGGAGACAGAGTCTTGCTGTGTTGCCGAGGCTGAAGTACAGTGTTGTGATCTCAGCTGACTGCAACCTCCGCCTCCTGGGTTCTAGCAATTCACCTACCTCAGCCTCCCAAGTAGCTGGGATTACAGGTGTGCACCGCCACTCCCATTGAAGTTTTGTATTTTTTTAGTAGAGACAGGGTTTCACCTTGTTGGCCAGGCTGGTCTCGAACTCCTGACCTCAGATGATACCCCCCACTGTGGCCTCGCAAGGTGCTGGGATTACAGGCGTGAGCCACTGCACCCGGCCTGAGTGTATGTATTTGATAGAGCTGCTTGAGCAGTGTATACCATTTTGATTTATGTTCTAATACTAAATTTCTGTTGTAATATGGATTCCTTTTTTGTTTCTGTAAAAGGTCATTTTTCTGCATGTTAACTTAGAAAATATCCAGGGAGATGTTTTGATTGTAATCTTGTTCAATGACACTTAGTAAAACTAGTTTCCTATTGTCATATTAACAAAACTCGTCGGCCAGGCGTGGTGGCTCATGCCTGTAATCCCAGCTTTTTGGGAGGCCGACGCGGGTGGATCACCTGAGGTCAGGAGTTCGAGACCAGCCTGGGCAACACAGTGAAATGCCATCTCTACTAATAATATAAAAATTAGCCAGGCATGGTGATGCATGCCTGTAATCCCAGCTACTTGGGAGGCTGAGGCAGGAGAATCACTTGAACCCAGGAGGTGGAGGTTGCAGTGAGCCGAGATCACACCATTGTACTCCAGCCCTGGCGACAAAAGCAAAACTCCATCTCAAAAAAAAAAAGAAAAAGAAAAACCAAAAGAAAACAACAACAAAAAACTAGTCATTCCGCTTTTCACCTTTCAAGAGACATTTTGCCATTGTACAGATATAAGCACTGGTAGATCCAGTTTTCAACTAAATTTGCTAACTTTGTTTTGTTTTGTTTTGTTTTGTCACAGGGTCTTGCTCTGTCACCTAGGCTGGAGTACAGTGGTGCCATCGTGGCTCACTGCAGCCTTGCAGCATCAAACTCCTGGGTTCAAGTGATTCTTCTACCTTTGTCCACCACACCTGGCTAATTTTTTAAAAAAATTTTTGTAGACACAAGGTCTCGCTGTATTGCCCAGGCTAATTTTGAACTCCTGGGCTCAAGCGGTCCTCCCACCTCAGCTTCCCAAAGTGCTGGGATCACAAGCATGAACCGTTGCATCCAGCCTATATTTGCTAAATTTTTGAAGAATGGGGCAAAAAAAAAGGTTCAGTCTCATTTGACATTAAGATATATTTATATAATGCAAACTGAGTGATTACTATGTGCTAGGTGTTGTCAACATGTTACTAATCTAATTTAATCTTGCCAGCAACCAGCAAGGTATAAGGAAGCCAGGAGCACAGAGATACTAGATAATTGACCGGGCTGTAAACTCTGTGGTATAGGGAGAATGTCTGTATTGTCAGTGATGAAGTCAAAGTCTCATTTGTAATAGAAGCTCAAATATTTGTTGATAAACAGGAGGTTATACAAGGTCTCATAGTTGCAGAGCTAGGATTTGAATTTTGGTCTGTCCGTACCAAAGGTTGTACTTTTTTTTTTTTTTTTTTTAAACAGAGGCTCGTTCTGTTGCCCAGACTGGAGTGCAGTGGCGCCATCTCAGCTCACTGCAATCTCCGCCTCCTGGGTTCAAGTGATTCTCCTGCCTCAGCTTCCCAAGTAGCTGGGACTTCCCAAGTAGGGAAGTCCCACACCTGGCTAATTTTTTGTATTTTTAGTAGAGACAGGGTTTCACCATGTTGGCCAGGCTGGTCTCGAACTCCTGACCTCAGGTGATCTGCCCGCCTTGGCCTCCCAAAGTGCTAGGATTTACAGGCGTGAACCTCTGCACCCAGTTGGTTGTACTCTTAAGCTCTATGGCTACTTACTTCCTACTTCTGCCATATCTCTACTGCTCACATGTGCTTAGGATTTGCAAAGCCACATGATAAGCATTATACATCTTCTTAAAGCAAAAATTTGACCTCATGTAGGGAAAGATTTTTGGTTAAGGGAGACATCAGTATGTGGTTTTTGTTTTGTTTTGTTTTTGCTTTTATTCTGAGAGTCTGGAAAAAACATCAGTATGTTTTAGAGTAAAATGCAAAAGTTGCTTGGATTTTTAAAGATAAAATAGTAAGCTTCATAGAGATGTGCTTTTGGCCCAGCATGGTGGCTCACACCTGTAATCCCAGTGCTTTGGTAGATCTAGGCGTGAGGCTCACTTGAGGCCAGAAGTTTGAGGTCAGCCTGGGAAGCAGCAAGACCTATTCTATAAAAAAATGTTTAAAAGGCCAGGTGTGGTGGCTCACACCTGTAATCGCAGCACTCTGGGAGGTTGAGGCGGGTGGATCACGAGGTCAGGAGATCGAGACCATCCTGGCTAACATGGTGAAACCTTGTCTCTACTAAAAATGCAAAAAAAATTAGCCAGGCATGGTGGCAGGCATCTGTAGTCCCAGCTATTTGCGAGGCTGAGGCAGGAGAATGGCATGAACCGGGGAGGCGGAGCTTGCAGTAAGCCAAGATCGTGCCACTGCACTCCAGCCTGGGCGACAGAGCGAGACTCCATCTCATAATTAATAAATAAATAAATGTTAAAAAATTATCCAGGTGGTGGCACATGCCTCTAGTCCTAGCTACTCGGTGAGGCTAAGGCAGCAGGAGGACTGCTTAAGCCCAGGAGGTCAAGATTGCAATGAGCCATGATCACGCCACTGTACTGGAGCCTGGGTAACAGAGTGAGACCCTGTCTCTAAAAAAAACTAAATAAGCATACAAATATGCTTTTGGTGACTGCTTAAGTCAGTGTGCCTCAGGAGCAGTGCTTCCATGGAACAAGTTGAAAAGCTGGACTCCAGAGGGATTCCAAGTGGCACACCTGATAGTTGAGTGATTCCTCTTCATGTCTACCTGGCCAGTTGAATTGTACATTGCAATGTCAAATCCCATTAAAACGCCTCAAAAATGGATAAAATACTACCTTGTCCATTAAGGAAGATATGAAACTTGCCGACTTTTTTTTTTCTGATTTTTAAGTTTTTAATAGAGGCAGGGTCTCACTATGTTGCCCAAGCTGATCTCAAACTCCTGGGCTTAAGGGATCCTCCCTCCTCAGCTTCTCAAAGTGCTGGGATTACAGGTGTGGGCCCACTGTACCCAGCTTGAAACTTGCCAGCTTTAAATGCCTTCCATGTTGCAGCTGAGTCTCAGGGTTTCTTGGAGATTCTGGCTGCAGTTCCCGTATGAAATGAGGGAGGGAGATCCAGAGGTTTGATTGACCTTTTTTTGTAGGTGGGCCAAGTGTTTACATGATGTCTCTTTGTAATTATAGGGAATTCAAACCGATGACAAGGGTCATATCATAGTAGATGAATTCCAGAATACCAACGTAAAAGGCATCTATGCAGTGGGGGATGTATGTGGAAAAGCTCTTCTTACTCCAGGTAAGGTCTCTTGCCTTCTTGGTGAGGGAGGGTCTGTGTGTTACCTGATCCATCCAGCTCTTCACTGTCAAATCTGCAGTCTGCTTAAGCAAAGTTAAAAGGATGAGTGTCTTTACGTTGTCAAAATGGTACAATGTGTTGAAATAGATATTGGTTGGATCCCTGACATTATCTGAATAAAAGACTTAAAATGCTTAGCAGAGACTGAAATTTTCATGCAGACAATATGATGACCCTTTGCGGAACTCTCTTAAGTTAGGAGCAGACTTGTGCTTGGTGGCAGTGGAAGGAAGTGGCATTTGGAAGAAGTAATTTAGATTGGCTTTTTTTTTTTGGAGACAGAGTCTCACTCTGTTACCCAGGCTGGAGTACAGTGGCGTGATCATGGGCTCACTGCACTTTCAACCTTCCTGGGCTCAGGTGATCCTCCCACCTCAGACTCCCAAGTAGCTGGGATCACAGGTGCATTTTTTGTAGAGACAGGATTTTACCATGTTGTCTTGAACCCCTGGGCTTAAGCAGTCCGCCTGCCTCAGCCTCCCAGAATGTTAGGATTACAGGCATGAGCCACCACACACAGCCTAGATTGTCATTCTTGTATGACTGGTCTTGATGCAACCAAGACTGATTTCCTTCTCTCCCGCATCCCATACCTCAACCCGCTTCCTAAGCACCATTTCAAGCTCTGTCCTGTCTCTATCCATTAATGATGCTACTTGATCTACTATTAATCTGTACCCTTCTGGAACCTCATCAGCGATTCCAGTATGTCCCAGGGCCTTATATCAGGATATGAAACCTATGCCAGTCACACACTCAAACCCTTTTAGTTCCTTTAGAAAGTTCTTGCTCTTGGCTGGGTGTGGTGGCTCCCAGCACTTTGGGAGGTTGAAGGAGGAGGATCGCTTGAGTCTAGTAATTTGAGACCAGGCTGGGCAACATAGTGAGATGTTGTCTCTATTAAAAAAAATAAAGATTTGGCTGGGCACGGTGGCTCACGCCTGTAATCTCAGCACTTTGTGAGGCCAAGGCAGGCGGATCACAAGGTCAAGAGATCGAGACCATCCTGGCCAACATGGTGAAACTTCATTTCTATTAAAAATACAAAAATTAGCTGGGCGTGGTGGCTCAAGCCTGTAGTCCCAGCTATTCAGGAGGCTGAGGCACGAGAATTGCCTCAACCTGGGAGGCAGAGGTTGCAGTGAGCTGAGATGGCGCAGTGCTCTCCAGCCTGGCAACAGAGCGAGACTCCGTCTAAAAACAACAACAACAATAATAATAATAATAATAATAATAATA